TTTTTTGGAAAATTATCTCATCTGAAAATATCAGCCAAGTGCAGTGGCTCACACATGTAATCTAAGCACTCTGGGAGGCCAAGGCAGAAGGACTGCTTGAACCCAGAGTTTGAGACCAGCCTGGGGAACATAGTGAGACCCTGTATCTATAAAATTTTTTTAAAACAACAACAACAACAACAACCAAAACCAGCGGGGTGCTGCTGGCTCACGCCTGCAATCCCAGCACTTTGGGAAGCTGAGGCTGTCAGATCTCTTGAGGTCAGGATTCAGACCAGGCCTGGTCAACATGGTGAAACCCCATTCTCTACTAAAAATAACAAAAATAGCCTGGAATGGTGGCACGTGCCTGTAATCCAGCTATTCGGGGCAGAGGTGAGAGAATCACTTGAACCCGAGGCGGAGGTTGCAATATGTCCAATTGCTCTCCAGTCCGGAGTGACAGAGCGGAACTCCGTCTCAAAACCAAACAAAACCAAAAAACAAATTAGCTGACATGGTAGGGTCCTCACACCTATAGTTCCCAGCACTGGGAGGCTGAGGCACGGAAAGAATGCTGCGGAGCCCAGGCGTCTTGAGGCTGCAGGATCAGATGGATGGCCACTACTGTAACTCCAGCCTGGGTTGACACAGTGAGACCCTAACTGTCTAAAAAAAAAAAAAAGAGAAAATATCACATGTGAATAGACAAAAGACCCAAGAATGCGTCACATCACACTATTATAGCAATGGATCTCCCAGCCTGGTTTGAAGCCTATGGAGTAATTTTATTCTCTTCGTTACTTACTTGTTTTCTGATTTCTTATATTATGACACGACATATTATTGTTGGTAATTTAAACCAAAATGGTATGCCACGCAAAAGATCATAACAATTCATACATACGCCGGCCAGTGCTCGGGCACTGTAATGCCCAGCACTTTGGTGAGCTGAGGTGGGCAAGAATCACCGAAGTCTGGCTTCAAGGACCAACCTGGCCAATCGCAGTGAAACCCCCGTCTCCTACTGAAATACCAAAAATTGGCCTGGTGTTAGTGGTGGCGGCCTGTTTAATCCTGGCCTGACTGGGGAGGTTGAGGCAGGAGAATCGCTTGAAAACCAGGGGCGAGCGTTGCATGAGCCAAGCATGCACAGTTGCAACTCCAAGCCTGGCGCAAACACGACAAAACGTACATCTCAAAAAAAAAAAAGAAAAAAATTGTGCACAATATTGTCCCTATAAGGGTGTGGTAGAAATGGTTTTACATGCAGTGTTTATTCCAACTTCCTTCTGATATGCCTCCCTGCGTTGCAGAGGCTGGGAACAAAGAGTCATGTTTCCTTGACTCCCTTGCAGCTCAGTCACTGGGTATGAATTAGCGTCTACCAGGAGATGAACCTTCTTGAGAAGGAGGCCACAGTATCAGCTCTGCCTCTGTCTGAGCAGGGGCTCAGTGAGGGTTGGAACAGATCACCAGAACTCATCTCCAGCTCTGAGCTCAGCGGGAGTCCGGGCTGGAGCATACTCACCCCTGGATGGTGACTGTAGCAGAAGGTTATTAAAGCCAACAGTCTGGGTGGTGGCCTTCTAATTCCCTATCTTCCTGATATCCTGGAGGTTGTAGTGATCCTAGCAAGCCTGTTCTGTATCATGGCTCAGTGTTCTGGGAAACATTCCGGGATACCTAGCCTAAACAGGCAGCCTTGCCAGCAGTTTTATAATTGCCCAAATCATCCCAGGCCCAAAATAGCTGGTTGTTTCTGTTTCCTGAGACACAACCTGACTGACATAAGGGCTCATGAGCTATTTGGGGGTGAGCTTGTGCTGAAAGAAAACATACATTTTTATGACAAGTCAGATGGAAGCATTAATATTTCAAGTTGCTTGGAATTCATCTGAATTGCAGAAGGAAGAGTAAAAATATCAGGAACAAGTGCCAAACCTAAAACACACGAAGATCTCCAAGTATAAATGTAACAGGATCACGGATTTCCTCTCTTTTACTAAGACATGCAGGTACAATATCACTTCAACATTTCTCTAGAATGGCTCGTTCTTCCCATGAGCCTTATCTCAGTGGGTTTTGGAGTGAGATGGTGAGGAGCAGGGAAACCGAATTAAGTTTGCCTGTTTGTGGAATCTCGGCTCAAAGAACCCTTTTCCACAGTGTAGCGGTGCAGTCTTTCAGAGTCCTCGGGTTCTCCACGCTGTCTGGATGCCCAGGGCTGTGTGGATAAATGTAGTACCAGGTGCTCTCGTCCTGTACTGGTCTCCCATGTGAATTGGCTGGTCTGGCCTGGTCCCCAGCCTGAGATCTCTTGAAGGACTCACTGGTTCCATTTAGGAAAGGGGCATCGTGATGTTACCCATGGCTGGAGTCTGTGATTCCAGTCCTTGCCTCTGGTCACAGATCCTCCTCCTCTGTGGCTTCTTCCCCTAGGCCTCTTTCACCAGTCTCAGAGCACTCCCAGACGCACTCTGGGGTGTACATGTTTGCTAGATCCTTAACCTCCTCCCTGCAGGCTGTGGAGCCTGCCCCAGGTCCACACATCCATTCCCACCCTCTGCTAGTGGTCATGCTGCATGAGGACAGTGCTGTGTTGGATGTGGAATCCACGTGTGCTCGTCCTGGCCTTCATGTTCGCCGACGCCACTGCACCCACTCTGCCTCCCAGGTTCCAAAAGCAATTCTCCTGCCTCAGCCTCGGCCCAGTAGCTGGGATTACAGACAGCAGGTCACCATGTCCAAGCTAACTTTGTATTTTAGTAGAGACGGGGTTCCACAATGCACTGTTGTCCAAGGCTGTGTCCTTGAAACTCGCTGGACCTCAAGGTGATCTGGAGCAAGCCCCTCGGGCCTCCGCAAAGTGCTGGGATGATGAGACATAGCCACCGCGCCCAGCCCGCAACATCTTGATCAGCATGCCTTGTGCCGGCAATCAACCTGGAGCAAAGGGAGGTGGGACCAGCAGGCATCTGTCCCCTTGCCTCCGCATGCTAACTGGGATGGCAGGGGTGATGTGTTGTCAACTCTGCCCTTCTCAGTTACGCGAGTTTCCTCTTTCTGGTCCTCCATCCACTCCCTTCCAAACGCAGGGACCCACTGTACAAGATAACGGTCCCAAGGAAAATAAATTAATCTTACAATGAGCAATGGGCTAAAGAAGGCTTGCCCATACTTTGTGCTAATGAAATCTGTTCAT